GATGAGGAATATCAATAAATGATTCAGGGTTTGGATGGGGGAAGTGGGATAGGTCGTGAGTGTACAAATTAAATTAATAATATTAAAATATACAATTATCGCTTGATTTTTGTATAAATAAATTTTAAATTTTAATTTTGAAGTTGGAAATTAAAAAACGAGGGGTGCATGTAATTTCCACTTTTAAAAATCACTCTAAATTCATGTATTCTCAATTGAGATTTTAATGAAATTTATTAAAATCTTCAACATCCCCATATGAGACTTTAATGAATTAAATGAATTCATTAAAAATTTAGGTATTCTCATTAATATGAATTTTTACAAGGATTTCATTAATAGATGCATTTTACAAGATTTGGATGAATTTCAAGATTAAAAATATACGTAACAAACTCTTTTAAAATTTCAAGATTTTTCTTTTCAATTTTCACAAAATCATAATAATCTTATTAAAGATGGTGAAATTTCAAAAGAATTTGTTATATGTATTTTTAAAATTGAAATCAATCAAAATCTTTTCAAATCCTTTTATTAATGAAATTATTATAAATCTACGCGTTAATTAGAATAACTAAATTTTAGATAATTTCTTTAAAATTCATTAAAGTCTTAATTAGAGACGCTTATATTTTAATGAATTTCATTAAAATTCATTAAGATCTCAACCGCATGGATTTAGGAAGAATTTTAAAATTCATCAAAATCTCAATTCATGACACCCTATTATTTAAATTCAATTAGAGAATGTTTCCTAAATATATATTTTATAAAGAGAAATGCTATTCATCCTCAATCTATGTGGATGTAAATGATTGATTAAGACTCTATTTGATACACATTATTTTTTTCATTCTCATTCTTCTACTCATTTTCAACCACACATTCTTCAATAAAATAATATTTTCCATCACATCAATAACTTTTCCTTCATTTTTAACCACACATTCTCCATAAATCNTTAACCACACATTCTTCATCAATCTACTATTCAATAATACATTCTTTCAAAAGAATGTATACCAAACACTTATTAATGATATGTGAAATCACATAGACTGTGATGCATCCTCACTGGGATGAATAACATTTTTCTTTTATAAAATCCATTCAAATTCTCGAAATTAACGAGGATTTATAAAATTCATTAAAATCTAGATTCTCGAGTGACCTGTGTTTTTAACCGTCTTCGTACAAATGAAATCAAATCTTGGATATTTCCACCTTGGAGCCTTGGAGCGTCAGGGACTCGAAGCTTAAACGTCTGATCAGCTCAGAACTTAGGGTTTGTTCATCCTGGGAATGAAGAAAAATGTCTCGCCACAACTCCAAAACACTCGACAATAAATATGTACGTACATTTTCTCTATCTCTTCTGTTTCTCCATTCAATTGTATTCCCTAATTTGGTTGATTTTACATAAAAAAAAAAAAATTACAGATGCTTGGAGATGAGATAGGGAAAGGTGCTTATGGAAGAGTATACAAGGGTTTGGATTTGCAAAATGGGGACTTTGTTGCAATCAAGCAAGTCTCTCTCGAGAACATTGCTCAGGAGGACTTAAACACTATTATGGTATCTCAATTTTCTTCTTTTTAGCCTTTTCCCGACTTTTTTTTTGATAATTTTATGTGATTTTTTTTCCTTGACTGAATTTGTTGCTTTTCCTTTTGAATAATGCTGTTGTTGGTCACTTGAATGCTTGAACTTGGCAGCAAGAGATTGACTTGCTCAAGGTAACATCCTGCTACCATAGATTTGTGCATAGACAGGCTCACACACTCTCACATTTTATTAGTGTCTCCCACTGTGTCGAATTTGGATAGCCTGCATCCCTTGATTGCTTAATTTCTCGTCCCTGCATCACTCTTCAAGTAAAGGAAATAAAGTACGGCCATATCTTAAATACTCCTATTTCCCTGGAGGTTAGGGGAGACAAAACTGCATCTCTACCTAGTTCAAGCCCGTGAGAGCCCTCTATTTGACCATGGATGGATGTGCTCGCAAGAGTTTTAGTACAAGCACTTAATAACACACACACACACACACATGTACGCACTTGTTAATCAAGTGCCTGGCTAATGGAAAGAGCTACTTGTATCGTTGATTGTGATAATGCATATTTTTGGTTGAACTTCAAAATTCATACCGCTGCAAAACTTTGATATATTTATGTGGTTCAATTGCTCTTCTTCTTTCCAAATTGGTCTTTTCTCTAGAAGTGTAATGATTGTTCAGGATTTGAATGTATGAGAAGCTGACATCCTCGTTGCACTAAATTTTGTTGCACTTTTTATCTTATGTTTTGCACCTACCATTACAAGCTGTTGATATGTATCTACCACTTCCCTTTCTTTTCTACAAAAATTGGACACTTGGAGTTCTATTCTGTTTTGGTTTCCAGTGTTCTCTCACTGGATGGTTCTCTTTCTCTTGCAGAATTTAAATCACAAAAATATTGTGAAATATCTTGGATCTTTGAAGACAAAGACTCATCTTCATATAATTCTTGAGTGAGTCATGCTTACAAGATCTTCAGTATTTTTTAACTTATTTACTTGGTACAGCGATCACAAGAACTTTAATTTTTTCTCACTTTGTTTTAAAGGTACGTAGAGAATGGATCACTAGCTAATATTATCAAGCCAAATAATTTTGGCCCTTTTCCGGAGTTCTTGGTGCCCCGATTCATAGCCCAGGTCTCAGCAAAAATATCTCATTGTTCAGTACCTATTTTATGTTTGCTTGCATTGTTTTTAAATATTCAGCAATATACTTGTTGTCAGGTACTTGAAGGTCTGGTGTATCTACACGAACAAGGTGTTATTCATCGAGATATCAAAGGGGCAAATATTTTGACAACAAAAGAAGTATGTTATCATAATTCTGTTTAGTGTGTGTTTCTGCGTTCTTGCATCATTTTGTGCCAAGGTTATTTTCTACTATGATTTTGCTTTTTGTTTCTGTTTTTTATTTCATTTTAGCTAAAAATATTTATCACGATTCACTTCTGCAGTTGATATGAGGATAATTATATTTTTTTTATTTAACTCTGATCTCATCATGCATCAGTTGGTTTGGATTGTTAACATTCTCAATATGTCTTCTGTATTTTTGTAGAAAAAAATTTAAGATTGCTGATCATGGTAGTTCCCTGGACTAACTTCTACTTTCAGGGACTTGTGAAACTTGCAGATTTCGGGGTTGCAACAAAACTGACTGAGGCAGATGTGAATACACATTCAGTTGTTGGAACACCGTACTGGATGGCCCCTGAGGTATTGCTTTGATATCCATTGTTAGCCTTTGAACCTGATAGTTGTTTCATGAATTTGGTAATTTAGTGTTTTTGATTGTTATTGGGTAGCACAAAGACTTTTCTCATATGTTTTTATTAGGGGTGAGGTACACTGTTGGCAAGTATAATTTGCAAGACCTTGCCATCAAGGATATACAAGCTGAGTTTTTATTCTATGATCGAAGTTACAACTGAAACCACATTGCCCAATTGTGTGCTTTTGTACGTCATTGTTCACTGGACAATTTATGAACTTAGGGAAGTTAGGACATGGTGTTTGCAATGTACAATTAATTTAGGACCTATTTATTATTTTAAAGAGTGGTTGGATGATATTTACTATTTTCCTTAATATAAAAAAATGTTGAAAATTGAGTTGGTAAAAGAAAGACTTATTGATTGTATTTTGATTTGAGCTGCTAGTTTGTGCCTTCTGATCACTTGGTTTATGGGGAGGGGTTGCAAAGTTGCTGGATCATTTTTGTTTGTGTTTGGTGATCCTTTTTATGTATGTTTTGAAGTATCAAAGAAGATTTCTGTGGAGCTGGCTGTGCTGCACAGATTTCGGAAGTCCCAATCGTGACTAAAAAGAGGATGTTGCAAAATATTGATGTTTTATGGTGTCAATTAAGACATAGTTCATGTTTGGCTAAAACTTGAAAATTTACTTAATAAGTTAATTTTAAAATAAAGTTACTTTGTTTGTCAATGTTGAAAACTAGCAAGTTTGTTATTTTGAAAGCAACTCCTTTTTTACTTCAAAATAAATAGCTTTTTTACTTCAGGGTTAGAAAAATTAATGTTTCCAAACATGTACAGAAACAAAAGTTTACTTCAAAGTATCTTTGTGTTAATTTTATGCTTTACCCAAACTCTGGTAATGCCAACTGCCAACACACATTAAATGCCCTTGGAATATGTACTATTTATTTATCTAGTGGAAAGTATTTCTAACATTGGCATAAGTTTACTTGGTCATCCAATCGAGATCAACCTGTTCAATCTCGAATAGATCGATTTTTGATTGGTGGTGAGTGGGAGGCTAAGTACGCAGATGTCACTCAGAGGAGACTGAGGAGAGTGTATTCAGATCATTTCCCTATTTCGTTATCTGGGATGGTGAGGGGTAATCGAAGAAGTCCTTTTAGGTTTGAGAAGATGTGGCTTAAAGTCGAAGGTTTTGGGGAGCGAGTTCGGAATTGGTGGGCCTCTTACGAGTTCAGGGGATCTCCCAGTTATGTTTTACATCAGAAATTGAAGGCTTTAAAGGGGGATTTAAAGAAGTGGAATGGGGAGGTGGTGGGAGATATAGATTGTCGTAAAAATCAGTGCTTGTTTGACATAGAAGAATTGGATAGACAGGAGGAGAGTCGAGGGTTGGATGGGGAGGAGAGGGAGAGGCGTGGAAGGTTAAGGGGAGAGTTGGAGAGACTGGTTGAGATGGAAGAGGTTGCTTGGAGACAGAAATCTAGGGTAATGTGGTTGAAGGAGGGCGACAAATGCACAAGATTCTTTCATCGGATTGCTAATTCCAATAGGCGTAATAATTCTATTACACTGTTGGAGGTAGATGGGGTTACTTATGAGGATCCACAAGATATTGCGACTCAGCAGGTGAGATTCTATCAGAATCTCTATCGGGAGCAGTTTGACTGGAGGCCNATCAAGTCTGCAAGTGATAGATTTACTTTTAATCAACTAGTTAGATAGGTAAATGAAGTCTCCTCATAGAACCTAACATACCAGAATTTTGAGCAGCTGAAAATGAAGCTTTTGCAATGCAAACTTCTAAATCGGAAATAGAGATTTTACTTCGTGGGATTTTACGCCTGGGATTGTATGACTGTACAACAGACAAAGCCACCCATTGAGGAGCATTGCTATCACTACAGCGATCATCTGCAAAGCAATAATCAATTCAAGGCAAGAATGCAAAGAAAGAAGATCTGAAGCTTACAATAGAAAAATATTACCTTGAGTTGCAACAAGGACCAGCCACCCGTCCCCCCATATGCCCAAAATAGGTAAATTTGCACTCTTATAAATGATTAGGGAAAGAGCAACAATTATTTTCAGCTAATATTGACTTAAATAAGAAGCGAAGGTTCACCCAGCTCAAGGAAGGAGCTTTTATTATTAAAAGAGGAAAGTGGTGCATGAAATGCCAACGACTTATTAGTGTGAATAGTGGGTCCCATAGATAAAGGGTAACTTGATGCCAAAAAATTAAACATATATAAAATGATTCATGAAGGTCTAATTCACAAAACAAAAATTACCTTCCCATTGAGAGTGTGAGAATCCATATGAGGTGCGTAATTAGCATTGCATTATATTAAATGACAAACTAGTAATTCTAATACCGTTGTACAAAAAGTAATGTTATGTAGAACCAGTCTTGGTGGAAGCGGACCCCATCACTTCATTGTCCAATAAATAAAAAAGCACCTTACTTCATTGGACAAGTGGTGGGTCCACTGACATTTAGTTCATGTTTGTCTCCCATTCTGTCAAAACATTGTTTTCTATATATTTATTTTCAACTACACATTCACATAATAAAATATTCTACACGTAAACCCAAAACTTTTCTCTACTTTTTAACCACACATTCTTCAAAAAATAACTATTTAAAACAATATTTTTCCAAAAAAAAAGGCCACCGAACAAGGGCTTAGCTTGTGATTAGCACCAGTCGTGCTACATAACGATATTCTTGTATAAATTGACAGCTGGAGTTGTGAAGATAATCAAAAGCTTATAGAGATTGTGATTGCTATTATTTTGGTGCATTGCAAAAGCAGCATGAAGCAACTTTAGATCGGGATTAGAATGGTCTGAAACTGACCTGTAATATCTATTAGATGCAGATCACCTAGATGAAGATCCCCAAATTCAGAAGCTCGCTGGTATGCATTTGGAACATTGGCTGAGAGTTTTGCTAGTGCATCAAACATACCCCCATGACCCCAATTTCCAGAATCATCAACACAGCTGCTCAAAGAATATCAGCAACTCAAAAATATGTCTATGCATATCAACTAGGACATATGAAGGGGATACAAAACAAAGTTTCACTTGATGCAATATGTGACGTTCAATTATAATATTACGTAATGGTCTTGTGAGTGTGATCCCCACTTGTTGGTCAACCATAACTTCAAACATATCCCACCCACGAAAGCTGCCCCGAAAGCGACCAACAAAAAATAATTTTAGACATGAGGATAAATTTGGGGATTGAGGATAAATTTGGGGAAATCTGATGTTATTCCAGTAGGGGAGGTTACTAATGTGGAGGAATTGGCTGCTATATTGGAGTGCAGAGTTGCACAATTGCCCATGTCTTATCTTGGGCTTCCTTTAGGAGCGAAATTTAAAAGTAAACAAATTTGGAATGATATACTTGAAAGGGTGGAGAGGAGGTTAGCGGGGTGGAAGCGCATCTATCTTTCAAAAGGGGGTCGTCTTACTCTCATCAAGTCCACTCTCTCTAATCTCCCAACCTATTTTCTATCATTGTTTCCTATTCCCGTTGCAGTGGCAAATCGGTTAGAGAGGATTCAAAGGGATTTTCTTTGGGCAGGGTTGGGGGAAGAGAGGAAATTCCATTTGGTCAAATGGGGAGACGTTTGTTCCCCTGTTGGGGTGGGGGGTCTTGGATTGAGGAGCCTGGTATTATTCAACAAGGCTTTGTTGGGCAAATGGCTGTGGCGTTTTGGAGTGGAGAGGGAGAGCTTCTGGAGAGAAATCATAGGGGTGAAGTATGGTGTTATGGAGGGGGGGTGGTGCTCGGGCGAAGGTCGTGGTTCTTATGGGGTGAGCCTGTGGAGGTATATCAGAAAAGGATGGAGTGAATTTCAGAATAGACTGGCGTTCGTGGTGGGGAATGGTACGAATGTCAATTTTTGGGGTGATTGTTGGTGCGGAGATCAACCGCTTAAAGCTCGGTTTCCTTCTTTGCATCGCATTGCTTTGGAGCCTTCAGCTATGGTGAGTAATGCTATGACTATTTATAACGGGAGTGCTAGCTGGAACATCGCTTTCGGAAGGGGTTTGCATGACTGGGAATTGGATGATTATGCGATTTTCTTGGCCTCCTTGTATGAAGCGCACATTCAGGTAGGAGTGGAAGACAGTAGTAGGTGGACGGTGGCACGGAATGGTATGTTCTCTGTTCGCACTTATTTCAGATCTTTATTGGAACCTGTGGAGTGTTCATTCCCCTGGGAAAGGGTATGGCAGTGTAAATTACCTCCAAGGGTGGCATTCTTACTTTGGACGGTTGTGAGGGGGCAGGTGTTGACGGCGGATAATCTTAGAAGAAAAGGCTGTTATATTACGGAATGGTGTTATATGTGTAAGAGGGATGGGGAGACGATCGACCACCTGTTCATTCATTGTGATGGTGTTCGTTGGATGTGGAACGATATCCTGGCTTCGCAACAAATGAGTTGGGTATTGCCAAAGCGTACTCCGGAGGTGGTGCGGGCATGGAAGAGAAAGTTGCGAGATAAAAATTGCAAGCTTGTTTGGGACCTCATTCCGGGTTGCATTGTGTGGTGTGTTTGGAGAGAAAGAAACGGTCGGTGCTTTGAAGATCAAACAAGGACGACAGAGCAGTTTAAAGAATTGTTTTATTTTACTTTGTATAATTGGTTTAACGCCGCAACCAATAGTCCGATAGAAGGGTTGCCTAATTTTTTAGCGTTTCTATCTTGCTTAAACTAAGAATGCACTCCTTGTGTATTATCCTTTGATTTTGATTTATAAAATTTCATGATTACTTATCAAAAAAAAAAACATTGGCATAAGTTGTGCGCATGCATGACAGTTTGAGGTAATATTAGGGTTTAGTACAATTGTGAAGACAATTCAACTCATCACCGAACTAGGAATTAAAAAGTTCTTACCAAGATGATGTAAGTGATGCGATCCTAAGAAATGATATACATTGGTAATTGCATGTAATGAAATATAGCCCTTGTTTGGGCTCCGTTTCAATAAGGTTTTGGGAAAAATGCATTTTGGAATAATGACTTTTTTGGAGAATGTGTGGTTAAAAAGAAGGGAAAAGTTTTGGTTTTACATGTAATATTATTTTATTGAAGAATGTGTGGTTGAAAAGAAGGAAAAGAAAAATATATTAAAATTAAAATGGAGCCCAAACGGGGTAATAGTATGCTTAAATATATTAACTCCTTTATTAATTTCAATCTACGGATTATGTGGCACTTGAAAATAACAATGATTAAATCCATTGTGGACAAGCAAAAAAGATTAACAAATTGCAGCATTCCTATAATTTAATTCTTATGATATTATTTTGCTGTATATTTCTGGAACTTCTTTGTCGTTTAACTATAAAAGTGAAAAGGTATATTACGAGTAAATGCCATTACAACCTCTTCATTATTCACTCTCTTGTAAATCAGCATTATGGTTGATGATGTTTACCAATTTCCAGAGTTTTTGATTCTATCATCAACTATGTGATGCACCCGATACTTACGGGTTGAGGCATGCCACCCACTGTCAAGAGTTAAACCTTGTTTTAACTAAGGTGCAAGCCTTCGTGCATATGGGAATTGCTCCTTGCTCTTATTGGGACGTTATTCTCTAAGCCTTAGTTTTGGCTCTTTTTTCATTGTGGCTAGTGCAGAGCATTTTAAATGTTCTTTTGGGTTGTTTTAAACACTGTAAAATCCTAAGAATGAAAACAATAAAATTGGAGATTAGAAAAGATAACAAGTGAAGAGCCCGTGTATGCCCTATCCCTCTACCCCTCCAACTTAAAACACTTTGTGACTGGTGATGATCAGTTGTTTCATCGGTTTTTAAGACTTCAGTTTTAGTTGGGCTTGGCCGTGTTGTTGTGTGATTACTGTTTTGTTTATATATTATTTGCCAATTTATCGATCCATTTTATATTTCTAGTAGCAAATTAGACTTTTAGTTTGGTTGAATTTCTTTTATGGTTTTCTCGGAGTTTTGTGGTTTATTGTGCGTATCATCCTTAATTTAATAATATATATTTTGCTATTTTATTGGTTTATGCTGAGGCTTACCCCTCAAAGTGCCTAGAGGTTTAGACCTCACATACGAAGCCAATACCCAAATTAACATTTTTAAACGATAGTTTCCGCTTTCATGACTGTTGAAAGATTTGACTGTGAATTAAACTTAATAATTCAGACAGGAGCATCACGGTTTCACCATCAACCAAAAAAAATTTAGTTAAAGATAAACTACCTTAAGGAAGCTAAAGTTGCTAGTAATTTTTCAAGAGGTTTCTCTGTCCTGTTTCTGAAATTTAAGTAAATAAAGTGTACTTCTATAGACTGGAAATGATGTAAGATTGATGTCCCTATGACACAGTATTGACAGAGGAAGATTGATGTGTGTATTAGACTGGTAGTTTATCCTGCAATGTGAATTTCAAGGAGTAACCCATACGGTCATAATATGTGTAGTGCAGTATTGGGTTGTATCTCCAACACCATATTGACAATAATTTCAAATGTTATAGGTCATTGAAATGTCTGGGGTTTGTGCTGCATCTGACATTTGGAGTGTTGGTTGCACTGTGATTGAGCTTCTCACATGTGTACCACCATACTATGATCTCCAGCCCATGCCTGCCCTCTTTCGGATTGTGCAGGTAAAATATTTGTTTAAATTTATTATCATCATATAATTACAATCATCTTCTTTTGCGCAATGGCATTGTTCTTTCTTATTTTGAAATTTCACGGTGGTTTGAGATCCTGTTGATTATCGAACTGATTACAAACGGGAATAAAAAGGTAAGAAAATGAAACGATTACTAGAGAAGGAAAATCTTGATACAATTTTCCAGAAATAATGGACGGAGACTCGAGTATTTCTTAGTATATTGTTCCTTTGAATGGAAGAGTTTTGTTATTTTATTTCTTGTTTTCCAGGATGAGCATCCTCCAATTCCAGATGGTCTATCTCCTGCTATTACTGATTTCCTGCGTCAGTGCTTTAAGAAGGTGAGATGGAAAAATCAGATCACATTTACTCATGCGAAATTATTTTTCCCGTTTCATATTTCAAATCAATTTTGGGCTTCCTTCATTCACATATTTCACTGTAACGCGTTTACTCACTTTTATATTTACAAATCGACTAGGCCACGAGAAAATGATGGATTGAAGACAGATCAGACAAGATTGAGGGAAATTTGTAATGGATTGATCATAAAAAGAAAAGGAAAATTAAAATAAGAGGATAAACATTTTTCACACCCATGTCCACTATTTTTCCCATCAAATGAGCAAACATATGGTGAAAATGAAACTCAAATTGCTCACGTCTTATATATCATTAATGTTAATTCAAGTAAATGTACCATTTACATAACTGGTTCATATGTTGATTATTAGATATGAATTAATTTAATTATTAATGAACTGAAACTTGACATGATAGAATTTTCACTCAGTGGTTAGATAGGTTAATTTTACTGGCTCTCTTTTCCGAATTCAATTGTTACAAGCCAATATTAACTTGATTTACTTGTATCCAGGTTCTTGGGAGATACCATTTTGTTATATGTTATGTTGGTAATTTTATTTTTGACGAAACAGTACCGCTTGCTTGGTTTTGGTAGTTGTGGGTAACATCAATGCCATATCGGTGCCATTTTAGGTGCTCCACTTAACATTTAGTATAATGTTTCAGGATGCTAGACACAGGCCAGATGCAAAGACATTACTTTCACATCCTTGGATACAGAACTCAAGAAGGGCTTTGCAGTCCTCTCTCCGCCATAGTGGAACTCTGATGTAGCGTTCTTGCCGATTCTTCCTTCCCTCCTGTGACATTTTGATATTGTATTTTCATATTAAAGGGTGCTGATATAGAATCGTCTATTGTATCAAGTGACTGTTGCTGGTTTCAAGTGATTCCAATGCAATTTTAGTGTTCTTTA